TCCCTTTTCTCCCTCGTATTCATCACATCAAAGTCATGGTTAACAGTCAGCTCATTTGAGTAGGCAGAAAGAACACTTATTGAATAACGTGTCAACATTTGACGAAGTACTCAAGCAATCTGATTCCTCACTGCGAGACCATCATTTGGCCGATGTAAGTCAAGAAAGACAGGCGAGTGGCCCTATATAAGCGGTCGAGGGAAGAGGCAGGCGCTGCAGTAAGTTGCCCGTCGGCTCTCTCACGATGAACGTCGTTCGAGGTTACAAGTTCTTGATACTTAAACATCCCATGTTCACACTGTCCTCCAAAAATGCCAACGAACAGTGATCCGCTTTGCTCGTGTGTAGTTGAAATCCCAGTTGATCACGGTTTCGAGGCTCCTTCACAGCGTCCATGGCTACGAAACGCTTTTTCTCAGGACAAGGTAGATAATGGCTTTCTGGCTCATCTCCAGCATCCTGCGAGTAATACCAAAGAACACGCCTGGCTGGTGATACCCATCTCGCTGACTTCACGACCGCTGCATGCCATGGAGGAGTTCATAGTCGAGACGTGAGACTTTCTCAAAATTCTACCCACAGACAACATTGAGGAACATTGTCTAGAGTCTTCTGCGCCATCTTTTATAGACGCGGTGATGTCGGACTCATGAGCGTCAGAACGTGATAGGCGAGGTGGCGTAAGGGTTGTAGGTCATCGGCATATAAATACTTCCTAATACCATCAGCGGAACAACAAAAGGGCAGCGAGACAACAGTCTTCCGCCAGTCGTTGAGCAACTTCTCTTTCCCCGACTGATGCCATTCATAGCAGTTCGTCCATAGGCAAGTTCCCCTGTCGAAGCAACGAGGCTCGCCTTAGAGACTTTCCCGTCCACCATCTCCAGTCATGTTGAAGTATTCCACATGAATATGAACCCGGTACATGACATGGATCATGTTACAGTCACTCTGGCTTCCTTTGGACACCTCGACTGGATTATAGAGGTAGGTGTGATTAGAATACCAATGCCACAAGAGCAGAATTCAGGGCAACATTTTGCTCTAGTAAGAAGTGGTATAGTGGCGTGACGGACCTGACTTAAATACACAGACGGAACTATCCTACGCGACGATGCAGTTTGCTTGCAGACATCGACGTTCTCTACTGGCCAAGTATCTCAGCAAGTTGACGTCCATCTTTACCTGCGTGACACGCCAGATCGGAGAAGCATGTCACCAGCCCCATTCGCACACAACGGCACAGTTTCTTCAGCTGATTGCAAATGCTCATCATGAATTCGTAACTCTATGCATCCAGCTAAGCCCATGGTATATCCCTCCAAAGAAACCCAGAAATGCCTACGCGTGACAATGAGACCCCCTTCAAACGCCTTACATACACATGAAATGCCATATGCTATCTCCCCACGTGCCACCACGCTTTAGAAATGCACACTCCGCTTCTTAGCAATCTTCGACTTCCTCTCCTCCTCGGCCCGGTCCCGATGGAAGAAGTTGCTGACGCTAGCAGCCGTGTTCCCGTACGGACCCTGGAGCAGGCCCGAAACCAGGTTCGGCAGTTTACCCCGGCCGCCCTGCTGCTGCTGCGGTGGTGCCTGCTGCTGCTGTTGTTGTTGGGGCGGCGCCGCCGACGACATTGCCGGTGTCGGCGCAAAGTGCACCTGCGGAGGCCGGTAAGCGCTCGTCCCCGGCTGACCCTGGTTATATGGCCCCGCGCTGGACGGCCTCGGCGGCTGCGCGGGCGATACGTGCCACGAGCCCCCTGAGCTTCCCGGGGGAGGCTGGTGCCGCGGCGACAGGCCTGGCCCTGGGCCCGGGGCGGCGGGCGGGACGCCGTACAGTCTCCTCAGCCGCTCCGTCTCCCTCTCGATCTCGGCCTCCTTGCGCCGGCGCTCCTTGTCCTCTTTCTCGAGCATCTTGGTGATGCGCTTCGCTTCTTCCGCGTCTCGGCGCTCGCGCTCGCGGGCCTGGCGCTGCTCCTCGGCCACCATGGCTTGCAGGCGCTTCGTCTCGTTATCGATCTCCCACTGCTGGCGGGCGTTTGCACGCGGGGGCCCGTTGTTCATGGGCCGTGCTGCCGGCGGTGAGGCGGGCTTGTTGCCGATCGCACCGGACATGGAGGCCACGGGGGCCATAGGGGCGGGCTGCGGTGGCGGGGGTTTGGAGTTCTTTCTGCGGCCTGAGATTGGAGGCGGGACTGCGGTGAGGTTGAAGACGTTTTGCCTGGGGTTGAGAAAGAGGTCGCGCAGGACCTCGGCGCCAAGCAGGAGGACGACGTCCAGACCCTTGCGATCCTCGACGTCTACCCGCTGGAGGTTGGGCTCGTAGATTGTCACGGCGCTCTCGTTCTTCTTGTCCTTGTACATGGCGACGGTGATGTCCGGCTCCTTGCTCTTCTTGCCGGCCACGCTCTTGCCGACCATGTAGCACGTCATGTCCTTACTCAACCTCCCGTCGCGCTTCCAGCGGAAGACGACCTTGGGCACGGTGTCGCTGACGGGAGGGTCGTCGGAGGAGCGGTCGATCATGCTCGCGCTGGGCTCGCGGAATGTTTGCTCGGGCATCTCAAACTCCCAGCTGTCGCTCTTGCCCCAACTGCCGGCCTTCGTCTTGATAACCACCTGCGAGTCCGGGTTATACAGCTGTAGGGTGACCTGGTCTGGGAGGATGGGCTGCGGCGGTGCGGGCTGGCCGCCCTGGGCGCGGACCTCCGCTGTGGAGAGTGTTGGCTGTGTCCATTCCGGCTCGACGAGGACCTCGGCGTAGATGATCTGCTGGGAGGCGATGTCGGTAAGGGCAGAGGCGTACTTGTTGCGAGCAACGGGGTTTGCAGGGTCGGCGCGCTTGAGCAGGTAGTGCGGCGTGAGTTCAGATCCCTGGTGGGTGAAGTAGAGGACTGTGTTGGAGGGGTTGTCCGAGGAGGGGCGAAAGTGGAAGGTCGGGAGGTTTTCGTCGAGCATGGTTGCGGGATTGACAGCCGACGGCTCGCGAAAAATCAAAACAGGTTGGCTCGATGCTGGATTTGTAACGCTTGCCAAAAAAGAAAGCTTCTTTCCCGTGGGTTTGAACGTTCGAGAAGGGTGGGTTGGCTAGATAAAGAGACGGCCAGGCCTCGGATCAGGCTGCCGTTGACTAGGGCGGCGAGGGTAGGGTGTGCGAGGTCAAGTGGGCTGAGTCTCAGTCCTTGTCCCGTCACCCGTCCGCCTTGGCTATATGATGAATCAAAGACACTGTCACCGCCCAGAGAAACACCGGTCAAGGAAACGGAGCTAAGCGCCCACCCACGTGAATCGAGGCAGAGGGAGCGCAACCTTCCGGAAGGATCGCGGCAAGCTGTAGGAACGAGCTGATGGAATGGCTTTCAGACGAGATGCTTGGGAAAGGTGAGTAAAAAGAGAGAGGCTGAAGAGTATATACGCAAGACAGGGTCCCGCCGTCGAGAGAAAGGTTGAAGCCTGGTTAGTGTTGATTAGAAAAGGGAGCGTCTGCAGGATTGGCGGTTCAACCTTGCCTAGGTAGTAAGGTAGGACTTGAGCCTGCGCACAGCGCCCCTCATTCAGCAAGCACGTCGTAGCAAGTAGAGCGGCGTGCAGTGCATGCTGTGTTACGTACGTCAACATGCCCCGCCCTTGCCCGTCCAGCAGTCTCCAGTGTCTTTACATCCAGCTGCAAGCCTCAGTGGTGACCCCACATATTCTCCGGCTCCGCCACAGCCGTCCAGGTGCCCCTTCTATCTCACTGGCGCTGCCCAATCCCCCGTGGAAAAATTCCCCTGCTCGGAGTCCTTCGGCCTGTGATTCGTCCGCTCGCCGGCAGCGGGAACAGCACTGCAATTCGTGCTGTGCGGCTGTGCAGTCGAGTGGGAACGTGAAGAATGGAAGCCAGAAGGCCCGAGTACCCACAAACTGTTTTGGAACTGCGAAGGAACCATCGTTCCCGAAACGCGTGGCCAATGGCCGTCCATCGGTTCCGTACTCTTCCAGCGCCTGTCTCTGTATATCCCGCGGATGAGCTTAGCTGACAGGGCGGCGGCCCGCGGGTGTGAACGATGAGCGGCGGTGGGCTGTGTACTTGGTGATGCGTAAGCTGCTGCAATTTAGAGGATCATGGGCTGGGCGGAATCCGCCTTGGCGGTCGTCGCCGCGTCATTGGCGCCTTTGCCCATTTTGAGTATTGATTAGGAGGAATCAAGCTTGATCCGACTGCTTGCCCTGTGGCTTTCTTTTTGGTTTAAGCACCGGCAATGCGGCGTGAAGTCTGCAGCAGTGTAAGTCGACGGATTTGAGGCTAGTAAATAATCGTGGCTGAAGACTGAGCATTGTAAATGAGGCCGGAAAGCCATCTCACACGTCGAGCAAATATCTGCCGATGCAGAAGCCCGGCCACGATGGCGAAGAAACTTCATCATCCCCGAGCCTGGCCATTCTTGGCTGCATATTCAATTACGACGTTGAAAGAATCAGTGTTTCCATAAAAAGAAACAAACCAAGTCGTTCGTCGACCTGATCGCCCAACAAATCAGCATCGCAGGTGCCTGACGATCTCAGTCCGCGAACGAAATCGTCTACGCCTCCAACCCGTCAACAATATTCGCACTAACAGTCAACAACGCAAGGCCAATCATGTTCAAGTATTGTTAACATTGTTGTACTTTTTGGATTACTCTCACCGCTCCTCTCCGTGCGTATCTCTTCTGCTCTCGACTATCTGTACATGTGCAGCTGAAAGCCACGGGTTGTCGTACGTCAAACTCCGCAAGGCCCCCCAAGCGCCAGGCTTGAAGAGGAGGCAGTGCAGCGAGTCTTCTGAATACAGTTCATGTTTGAATTTATACTACCGCCTCTTTCGGTGGCCTGTTCATGTGTGATACGATGATGATGATAAATGTTATTACAACACCCCCTCGCTTGCCTTCTCATTTTGACATCCTGCCGCGCTGCGCCGTCCTTGGGTATGAAAACAAAGAAAAGTGACTGTTGGTCCTGTGTCACGTCTGGCTACGACGCATTGGAATTCAGATCGGGCCGTCGGGGTACTTCTCCGTCAGGCATCATCATGGTAAATTGAGGTTCGGGGGGCAGGCCGTTCTGTCCCGTCCCGGCCGGAAGTCCGGGTACGGGAGGAACATCTTCGTCGGTTTCTGGCCGTGCCTGCGCTCTCTTGATGCGACCTGTTTGCTGGTTGACCCAGCTGTTAACAGATCGGAATCTTGGTGGCAAGTCTTCGCTCGTCTCGGTGTATACAGTGTCACGGTTGCTCTTACTCATCCACGAGAACCGACCGGTTTGACTCTGCCTGATTGGGGGTGGTGGTTGCAGTGCCATGCCAGGTACCACAATATCCCCGTCACCAAAACCGGACGAAATCGAAGACAGCTCACTCGCCCGGTTGACTTGTCGTCTGTTGGGATCATAAGCGTCTGATGGTTGACGAGCCAATTCTGATTGATTGAAGAAGGCTCCAGCTCCCATACCCGAGCGAAGGGTCATGTTAGGATCGGTGGGGGTGCCGTATTGTCCAATGATGTGTGTCAAGGACTGGCTGGGCGCGTGACTGATGAGCGTGCCCGTTTGTGTGTTGTATGTGCCAACGCCGGTGTTGAAAGTGTCGACCTGGCTGGTGTAGGTGCCCGTTTGGCTGTTGAAGGTGCCTTGTCCGTTCATAATGGGTTGGTTGGCCCGCATCTGAATCGTGCCTGACGGGCTCATGGTCATCGGGCTGCCCCTGTTATCGGCCGGTGACATGTACTGGCCACCATATGCAGACGCTGAGCCGGGGCCAAAGTTGCCGATCGGCTTTCCAGAGTAGACGTCCGTGTTCAATCGCAGGGTTCCTCTAGGCCCAACTCCCTTCTCGTACTGAGGCGGCTGGCTCCGGCCGTCCAGGTTTTCCCATCCGCCACCCACTGAACGATTCCTGAAGAAGGGAATCTTGGATCCGAAACCGGGGGTGTCGCCACGGTAGGCAGACTCTCTGTCCCTCTTCCTTCGTGCTGCCCTCTTAAATGTCCTCCACACGATCCAGCAGAGGAAACTCGCAAAAATGAAAGACCCTACTCAAGTTAGCGACCAACGGCCTTATTTGGCACCAAAGAACATACCGATAGAACCGACCGCGATCAAAGCGTGCTCGGTTTCCGGGTTCATACGTGGCGGTCTGCCGTCGTCCTTATCCCGGCTTCCAGTCTGCCCAGGAAGAGCTGAGATGGTCTCCGCCGGAATCACTGCTGATGCTAATGTGGCAGTAACTGTGGGCGTTGGATGTCCATCAATACCCTTCCTGGGCGCAGACGGTTCGAGGGATGGCAGAGGCGGCAGACCAGTAGTCGGGGGCGGAGCAGAAGGTGTTGGGGCTGAAGGCGTGGGATACTTTGGCTTCTTGGGCGTAGGCTATCATGGTCAGTCATGTTCTCACATCTGAATGCTGGAGTGAACCACTCACAGGATCCATGGATGGCATCATGGTCGAGATCAACGTGACAGTACGTGCTGGGGCCGTGACTGTCATCGTCGCTGGGGGTGGTCCTGGCTGAGGCTCCTCAGGAGGCGGTGGTGGCGGCGGGTCGGGCTCTGCTGGTGCCAAAACAGGCGGTGGTAGTGGTGATTGTGGTGGTGGTGGTGGAGGCTCTTCAGGCTCGGGGGGACGCTGTACAGGAATCTCAGGGTGAGCTGCTGGAGTTTCGAAGGCGGGAGGGACTGATGCCGCTGGAGCCGCTCGGGGAGGAGGGTTGGGTACCGTGGACGCAGGCGGCAGAGATGAAGGTGTAGCCTTGGGAGGCGCTGATACTCGCAATGGAGGCGCTGATACCTGGGGCAACTGAATAGCCGGAGGAAATGAAGCCACTGGACGGGCTGATACTGCCGGTGCGGGCCGGAGAGTTGCCACGGGCAGTGGCGTGCCGTTCTGAAGGTTATTCGATGGCCTGAGACTCGCCTTTGGTGTATCCGGGCTTGACGGTTGCTCCTGTTGTTGTTGGGGAGGAGGGTTCTTGAGTTTCTGTTTCCTCTTCGGATTATCGCTGTCGCTGTCTGATCGTGCCTCTACCCTGTCGGCGAATTCGTGCCCAGGGCCAACTGCCCTCTTCCAAATACCACCTGCGGCCCGTCGGACTTGCGTTGCGTACTCATCGTCGGATTCCTCGTCGCGTTCCGTAAACAGAGAGGGTATCTTGATGTTGGCGGGGCGGGCGGCTCTCCGGGAAGGCTTCGAGCCCTGCTGGACTGCGTGGGGAGCCATGCCCTTCTCCTCGATCATCCTATCCTTCCAATCCGGACCGAAGAAAGTCGCCGAAATGTTCCCTTTTGTCAATCGGTTCCGACCATGGCCCTCAGTTTACGAAATTCGGTGTTGATATTCGGCGATAAAAGTTGGATGATGGTTCGAGACGGTGCGGTGAAGAACTATCGTTGCGAGTGAGACGTCGAGTCGAGTGCGAGATGAAAACACGGATAGTAAAAAAGATACAAAGACGAAGTAGACAATTGCCAGCAAAGGGGTCTAGAAGAATCGAAAGGAATAAGGCCGGCCTTGGTATGTGAAGAATGGAAAAAGTGATGAACACTAAACAAGTGGCGGAGGTATTGGCAGTAGAGGGAGAAGAGGGAGAAGGGAGGGAAGAAGAGAAGCCAGCCGAGAGAGAGGCGACAGTATGTATCAGATTGGGTCGATCATCTATCCACCATTCGCGGGGAGACCCATGCTGCATGACAGATGCCCCCCGAGATGCTTCAGGGATAGATCCAGACACCCCGGGCGGGCACCAGCACTGACTAGGACTGGCGCAGGAACTGGCACGCGAAAGCCGATGGGTGCGGCGCCCTAGTGGGTGGTCCGTGGATCGTAAGTCAGCGGTCACTCGCGTGGTGGTTTTGTCATGCCGTACACCTGTTGCGTTGCTGGTGCTGCTGCACCGCAGTGCGGTATTCGTAGGGGGCCTGCTGAGAAGGAGATGCGACCAGACGGTCATTCGTCACTCATTGGTGCTTTGCTCTGCGGGTTCCTGGATTCCTTCTCCCCGTACGTGTCCAGGCGTGAGGTTAAAGCCTCCTTGATTCTGCTCGCTCAGACTGGTCTTGGTCTGGTTGTTCTTGGCAGGCCGAACACGATTGCGCAGCTTCTGTGTGTAGTGAGCGAGTGCATTGTGCGCAAGACCAGATGATGGCATCTCGAGTAACAAAAATCTCGCACCAGACGTGCGCGAAAGGCAGGTATTGCAGCAGCAGCGGCACAGAGCCCCAAGCAGAAGCAGAACCGGCTTGAGGAGGTCGAGGAAGGTCCACCCCTCCCCCTTCTGCCCCTGCCTCCTGCGGTAGCCGGACAGGCCTTTTCGTCTAACCCGTATCCATTCCCCTGGCGTCTCTGGACAGGGACCCCGGAGATGGAGGCTCCAGAGCATGGCACGTAGCATGGATGGTGGAAGGTGTCTGGAATGGGAGATGGTGGTTTCCTGTAGCGAGTTGGACCAGTGCGCAACGAGGACAGACGAGCAGCAGAAGCTTGTAAGGGTCAATCATTGCCTGCTTGAGGCTTCAGCAGGCCACTGAAGCTGGGCCGGCGGTGGACGGAGACGCAGAACGCTGAGGGCCAGGGGCGAGGACGAGACGGTATGGGGGTAGCTTCATCCTCATACCGGTGGGGGAGAACGGGCGGCGGGCGAAGAGGAGGCGAGAATACGGCAGTCGGGATGCTGGTGTCAAGGACACCCCCAGTGAGCGCAGTGTGACCGTGGTGAAGATCGCGGCGGGGGGTCCATTTCTTCAGTATCTTCCGTAGCAGACGGCAGCAGAGATTCCCTCGCTGAGAGCCTGAGAGAGGGCGAGAGAGAGACAGAGAACGAGAGAAGTTTGTGTGTGCGAGCGCGTGTGTGTGCCGTGTGAGGTGTGGTGTGGTGGAGAGGTGAGACATCGAGTCGGCCAGTCTGGTGTCGATGCTGCGGTTTCGAAGAACCGAATCGGGACGAAGTGGGAACAACGGCATGTGTGGCCGCTAGCAGGTGGCGGCATGAACATTGCGGAGAGCATGTTAGTGCAGACAGCGGCGGCCGGCATTTGAGGGGTCTTTTGGGTGCAGTGCTGCGACGACACTTGCAGGGGGCCATGCGTCTCAGCGTGGGAAAGAGCGGGTTTCAGGACAGGGGAGGGCCTGTTGCCTTTGCCCTTGCAGAGTGACAGTTTGGGACTAGCCTCTTTCGGGAGAGACACAGCTAACAACGGTTAGGTTCCTGCTCCTAACTTCCTGTTCCTCTTCCTGTTCCTGGTGCGGTGGCTGCCGGGAGAGCGTCCGACGGCGGCGGCACGCCCTGACGCCCAGGGCACTGACGGTCCAGTGTCTCTCGCTTGCCCCCCACTGCGCTGCGGGCTGCGCATCCAGTGCTGGAACACCGCTGAGGCGTTGCGCCCAAAGTGCTGCAGCTGCAGCCCGCGGACACGTCGATGGCCTTCTAGATGCCGTTTCCTTTCTCAGTAAGGTAAGGTACGGATATCATCTATCTCATGTTTGGTGACAACATCTGGCCCCGTCACGTTAACGACAACAAGTCAGGCCGGGAGTCTAGACACGATAATACTGGAGCCTCAAGCCAGGGGCTGTTGGATAGCAGCAGCAACAGCCCCATACGCAGTGGGATATCCGAAAAGCACCTCACCCTCAAGTCCAGGTGCATCTCAGACACCTCGAGCACGGTGCTCTCGTCCGGTATGGGCAGTCCATACACCCTCTTAACCCGTCCTGGCATCTCATTCGTGACTTTCGGCAGCGTTGGGGGCATCAAGGTACGTTCCGACGGCTGAAGCTCAAAGTCACGTTGACGAGCACGTCAGAAGTCAGGTCGTCCCTCACCTCGTTAGGCACCGACATGGTTGACATGGGCAGCCAGAGCATCATACAATTCAACCGAAAGGCATCTACCTGTCCTGCAGTCACGAGGCATGGTGGTAAGGCATACTCGAACGAGAAGGAGAAGGAGCTGCTGCAAGACATCACGTCTGGGTCCCTGTCGCCTGACTGCAGGAGCTGAACTGAAAACTCGCCCTCCACCCTTCCGACTGCCGTCATGCCGAAATCGACGGTTGGTTCCATCCTCCAATCCAGTCGAACCGTTCTGCCCTCTTACCCCTGAGAAAGAAAGCTAGAAACCCTGAACTGCCAGCTTGAACGCTATCGTCATCCGTATTATCCTAAAGATGGTGGTGGTTGTCGGATTCACATCACATTCGCCAGCTTGCCTCCCCGTCCAGGGTCGTCGACGAGGAGAGGCGGGTGAGGCTCTTCAACGTTCATGCTAACGCAGTAGCAACTGCCGCTATTGGCTTGGGCCCCCCTGTCATTCCTCCGAGCTGCCAGATCTGGCCGACGGAAACGTCCATCGCTGGGCAAAACGCCCAGATTTTAGTTTGGTCGCTGTGTCCCCCCTTTCAATTCAATTTCTCCTAGCCGCGAGCTAGTTGGACATCCAATTCCTTCTGGAATTAGAGTAACCGCAGAAAGCAAACAAACACAAAAGCATGGTGCTTTCCGAATTGTTCGCTTTTCCCATCGATACTTTCGATAATTAGCCGCTGCTCGTTCCCGCTTTGCGACTTGTCAGTCAGTCGTACCAAGTCAGTTAGAATACGGAATACACTCAGTTCAAACCTGCTCGCCTCGTTCCAGCCCCTGAAAGACTAGCGGCCCCGGTCAATGGTCAACCGGCCTCCGACTAACGACGGGCGAGCGACTGACGAGCAACTCACAAACTCGACCGAACCCAAACCTCCAGGCTCCTGTCCCCAATACCACTGCTACGCGGCCGAGTCGGCCACTTTCGCTATTGGTCTCGGCCTATGCTATACCCCCTCTCTCGCGCGCCAGACAAGCAAGGCCCTGAGCCGCACGGCCTCCTCCAAGTCTCCAACCCCCAAAACCTGACTCTCGTCACACTCTTCGCACACTTTTGCCGTCCTAACCGGCGGGCTCCCAAGACCCGTCATCGCCCCGTGTTCATGTGTCCCACGCTCTTTCTCTCTCTCACACGTTGTCTTCATCTCATCCTCGACCTCAACCATCACAAATTCTCCACACCCCTCCCATTCCCCCTTCCCTTCCTGGCTGCAACATCTCGCAAAAGTTGTCGCACCCAAGGAGGCAAATAAGCTCCCATCTTGGCATCTGGAAACCTGCACAGGCGATCTGAGCAACCCGCAACTCCGCCGCTCATTGGCTACTGTCTCCCTTCGTTCAGGACTTCAGACAGAAGCTTGATCACCGCGCCAGCCTTGGCCGTCATAGCCGGAAGTGTTGGAGAACAAAGTTCCGTTCAACGTGAGCTTCTCGGCGAGTGAAGCGAAAGCAGTAAGAGAGAGGGGAACTCAGTCCTGTTCCTGCTCTGTGCCCTCACAGTTATCTATGTCTAATTCTCTGAACCATCTTGCTGGGTGCTTTAACCGACATTCTACAGCCTGCATATCTGCAGCGTAATTGCATCGTGAAGCCATGGCGGCGGGCTTGGCGATATATATGAACCCGTACCAAGAGACCGGAAAACTTTGATGCGCCCAGGAAAGCCTTCCAATATATTGAATCAATATGCTCTGTTTGGGCCACTGTCGCGATGCCTTTTCCCGCGGCCGCATGCGCAGCGATGCGTCCCAAGCCGGGATCAACGCTCGCTTGACAAATCTTCCGCGGCTTGGCTACCAACCAGCACAGTACATCATCCGCCAAGCTCACGATCAACTACCAAGAACGCGGGAGGGCATCTTCCCACCCACCGCATGGGTGCAGATAGGCGAAATGGATGATGGAATGCGTGCACAACAAAGAATGGTCGTAATGCCACGAAACACCGGTGTTCTGGACTTTTCGGACGTGGACTTTTCGGACCCACGACCCGCGAGGCCGCCTGCGTTGACGTCCAGTCCCTCCCACCCCCGATGCGTGATCCCGGGAACTTATGAGGGGCCTTTTAAGAGACACATTCAACTTGACGAACTAGTTGGATTCACCATCGACATTTAGAGTGGCTCTTGACAGCGGGCGGGCTGGATGGGAAAGAGCTTCCCATGTGGGCACCATGTTTCCGCCACGACGCTCCCGTCGTCGCCGCCCGCGCGCGCCCATCTGCCGGCATAATCAAATTGCGGGCATAGCTTCTTTCTCGAGCAGCCGCACTGGGGCACTATCATGCAGCGTAAAGCAATGTGAATGACGGATGAGCTGAGAATTGGCCCATTCTCGCCTTCGGAATTCTGAGGCAAGCGGGTAATTCTGAGGATGTC